TTTGTTTCTGTCTTTTTAAAATGGTATTTTCATTCATTATTTGAAGTTTTCATATGTGTGTACAGCCTATCTTGATCATAGTCACCTCAACTCTCCCTGTCTACTGGTTTCCTGGCTCTCCTCCTGTGGCAGTATAAATAAGGATAGTCTATTTGGGCTCATAAGTTTTCATGCTTAGTCCTCACAGATGACCTGTTCGGGGAGGATAAGGGGTATCGCCTTGTTGGAGGTAGCATGTCACTGTGGGAGCAGGCTCTGAGGTTTCCTGTACTCAGACCATCCACTGTCTTAGTTGACTTCCTGTTGCCTACAGGAGATAGCACTCTTAGCTCCATGCCCACATGCTCCCCATCTTGATGATGATCGACTGAACCTCTGAAACTGTAAGCGAGTCACCCCAGTTAAATGTTTTCTTTATAAGAGTTGCTGTGGTCATGGTATCTCTTCACAACAATAGAAACCCTAAGACACACAAGTCCCTGCCTCAAAGAAAAGTCAGCAAAACAACAAGTCAAAAAACAAAAACTTAGCTTTTGAAGCTGTCGTCCAAATAGTTACCTGAAAAGGGTAATTCTTTTAAAAAAACTTTGTGGTGATTCTATTTGTGGAAAAAAAAACTCTGTAATTTAAAGTCTGTGAAAAAACATTCTGTAATTTAAAGTCTGTCTCCCTACTTCTGGGGACTTTTATTCATCAACAGTAATGGTCTGGTTAGAATTCCTAGAGTTGAGGGCATAGAGAAGATTATCTTTGAAAAAGGTCATAATTTTACCTTCACACATGGTTCATAAATGCTAATTTTTGCATGTGGAATTGAATTTGACTGGGGTCCGTCCTGCCTATACTTCTTGATGATGCTAACTAAGTTCATGCATTACTCTGAGAGGGAAAGATACTATTTTTATTATAATTTTTCTTTATTCTTAATAATTTCATGCATTGTAATACATGTATACAATGAAATATGACCATATCCACCTGCTCCCATTTCCCTCCTCCAACTCCCTCCCTATCTCTCCCAACATGTCCTCCTCCAACTTAATTATCTCCTCCTCCCCTTACCCTTCTTCTTCCTCCTCCTCCTCCTCATCCTCCTCCTCCTTCTCTTCCTGCTCCTCCTTCTTTGATAGCCCACTAAATCCAATCAGTGCCAGTCTTGTGTATTGCTATGAAGTGAACCACTGGAGTATGGGAAATCTACCAGCAGGTAAAGATTCTTTCTGCCCAAATAGCTATCAACTGGTGACAGCTCCTTACTGAAAGGTGGGGGCTGAAAAGCACCCCACATCTGTTCTGGCATTTTAGTTGGCTTCGTCTTGTGCAGATAACTATGGCAGCTGTGAGTCCATGAGTGTGAGAGCTACATCATGTCTAGAAGACAGCATTTCACAGCAACCCCTCCCATCCTCCAGAACTTCCTTCCAAGATGTTCCCTGAGTCTTGACGGGCTTGGGGTGAAGGGATGGGGTCAGTGGGTAAAGATGTCCCACTTAAGACTAAGCATCCATCTCTAAGTCTCAGCACTTTGGCCAGTTAAGCATCTCCGTGCCAATGCTACCCATTGCCTAAGGAAAGAAAATCTTTTCCGAACAAGGTTGAGAGCAACACGGATCCATGGGTGGGCTGTTTAACAACATGGACACCGAGCAAAATAACAAGAGCAGGTTACACGCTACAGCCTATACCCTGTGGGCTTTTTAATCAGTATTTTAGTGCTGGGTGTGACATGCCCTCCTGTAGAGCAGGCCTCAAATTCAGTAAGAAAGTGGTGGCTTTCCCCATAACAGTCACGACACTATTGTACCATTGGGCACACCTAGCCTTACAGGAGGTACTGTAAGATGCAGAGTCCAGCACTGTGCAAACATATTTTCTCCCCCAACAGCCCGCATGGCACTTTCTGGCTCTATAAAAGCTAGTCTTCAGGGTGGAAGTTTCCTGGTCTGTTTGAGAGAAGGAGACATATTTTAAAACTCCAAAGACAGCAAAAGGGATTCCCGGGTTTGTCATAGTTAGGGTTTCTATTGCTGTGAAGAGATACCATGATTGCAACAAACCTTAGTTGGGTGGCTTACAGTGTCAGAGATTTAGTCCATTAGCATCATGGTGAGACATAGCAACATGCAGGCAGACATGGTCCCGGAGGAGATTAGAGTTCTACATCTTCATCTGCAGGCAACAAACGGGAAGTGAACAGTTTCACTGGGTATAGCTTGAGCATAAGAGACCTTAAAGCCTGCCTCCACAGTGACACACTGCCTTCAACAAGGCCATGCCTATTCCAGTAACGCCGCACCTCCTAATAGTGTGCTCCCTTTGAGGGCCACCACATGGACTGCTCTGGTAGAGTAACTGTCTCAGGATTTCTCCACTGGACTGGACCCTTCCTCAGTGTCTGGCTGTATAGTGTTCCTGTACAAGCTCCTTCCTCAACCTAGCGTGGGTAACTGGAGCAAAAACTGTCCAGTAGGCCCTGTCGCCCTATTTGCAATGGCTTTCTTCACTCACCTTTGATAACTTTGTCTACCATACGTGGTTGGAAGTGTCTATTAACTCCTGCCTCCTCCCTGAAACCCACAGAGAACAGTCATGACAGTGTGTTTATCCTGGTGCATCCCTAAGCTAACATGGGTAGGCTGGCTGCATTGTTTTAGTTTCCATCACAATGTGTTGAGGGAAAGCATATATGAATGAACAAATATTAAACCAATTACTTGTTCTGACTTGTAAGGTCATTTAAGAGTCAACCTTCCCTGTTGGCCAGGCACGGGGTAGTTAAAGTGCCAGGCAGCTTCTGGATCACCCCCACCTAAGCCAGGAGGTTTCATATTTCCAGGAGGCTTCTAGCCACATCTAAGCACAGCCCCAACTCCATAGGCAGATCCCAGGATCTCTGAGAATGATGCTTGCTTGCAAGTAGAAACTGTTGGCTCAGCATTTGGAAAGTTCTAGAATTGGCAAATCTGGTGATATCTAAAGTCTGAAAGGAAAGGGGAAATTCAAGTCTTTTCTTTTTCTTATCTTCTTCAAATTGCTTGTGGCCAATATTTCTCTACTGACAAAGGAGATAATTTTGCAGGTCGATACTTACAGACAACATTGTCTTCGTGAATTTCATCCCCCAAGAGACAGAGCAGGAGACTCCAGTCCCTACAATGGTAAGTAGAAATCATCAGCAATCAGAAAGGAATTCTTGTTTGACCAGGCAGGCTCAACTAACACTGACTGTCCTAAGGATTTTGTTAAGCCAAGTGCAGTGATTCAAAAAGATCAAATACCAGCATTTTTCTACAGTTCAGCATAGAATAGGTGTAGACCAGACACCATAGCACTCCAAATGAGTCAGGACTGAATCCTACTGCCAGGAGGTCTGCTGGGACATCAGGCCTTTTGGGGAGAGCTAAGCACCAACGGGAATATGAATGCCACACCACCGCCTTGATAATTTCATTGCCACAAGATGTTTGAAGAGAGAAACAGAAAAGGCCTAGTTTGAGAAATGCTGGAAACAATGTCTTTTTTTTTTAACTTTTTAAGTTCTGAAAATGTAGCTCACAGTCTGTACGCTGAAAAATCCAAATGGCTCAACAGCAAAAGAAACCACTCATCCTTGTTTACACAAGGATATTAATTAGACTCACAAAGGCATGTCTAGTATACAGCTGGCAGTTCAAAACTATGGGGACCATTTATGACCTGTGAGGAAGGGCCTTAAGTCCCCCTCCATCTTCACCACCAATTTCCCTCGCCACCCAGAGGTCTCTGCCAGATGCCTTCCTAATTCTTCTTCTCTATTTCCTGACGATGGGAAGAGGACAGAATTCCAGAATATCGTGGGCTTTCCATAGACTCTCTTACTTCACAATGATGTATGAGACGGAGAGAGTTGGTGTTCCCATCTTACAAAGGAACAAGACAAGACACCAAGAGCTGAAGTAACTTGCCCCAGACCTGACTGCTCTGCACACATGCTAGAACCATATCACGAAGGAATGTCTTTTTACTGCCCCAGACTGCTAAAACTGTTAAGGCTTTGGCCTTGCACAAAGCCAGCAAGAGCCCCCAGGTTCTAACAAAGTAATCATTTACTTTGAAAACCCTCCATTAAAAGGAACATGACATCTACAAATGGTTATCCTTGGAGAACCTTAGAAATCTGTCAACTGGAAAGAAGATTCCAGAGGGGGAAACCCGAAAACCTTTAATTGCTCCAAGATGGTGTGTCGGTTGGCAGCTCTGGCTCATCTTAAAAGGACACTTTTTTGGAATGTACAGCTGACATTTAACAAACATGCTTTGGGTTCTCATCCTCACAACATCATTGGTGCCCTTTCTAGGTGTGATGCTGACTTGTTTTGTAACTTTTCTCTATGCTGCAGATGCCAGGGTTGCCCACCCTGGGTACATTCTGCAGTGTCTCCCCTTCATCAAGTGGGCTGTAAGTTCCTTTAGTTTCTCACAGAATCAAGGATTAGGTCAGTATGTATGGACAATAGTGTGTGTGGGGGAATCATCTCCTAAAATAATTTATTTTATATGAATTTATAGATGTACAATGTTGATCTTGTTATGCTGCAAGACTTTAAGAGAGAGTCCTTAAGAACTGTAAAGGGGCTTCCAAAAACTTCAGGGAGGAGCTGGAAAGATGGCTCGGCAGTTAAGAGTCCTATAAAGGACCCTTGTCAGTTACCAACAGCTGCGTTGGGTGGCTCCTAACTGCCTGTAACTCCAGCTCCAGGATCTGAAGCCTCCTCACGCATGCACACCCATACTCACACACGTGTGCACACCCACACAAAGACGCAGACACATCCGAAGTAAAATCTGAAAGTCTCAAAATCTAAAGTACCTGGAGGTTCTGATAGTCTATTGTGTTTTGGGTGACCACAGCCTCAAATTGAGCAAGGTGGTACAGGCCTGCAGTCCCAGCACTGCGGGGCTGAGGCAGGAACACTGAAGGCTGGAGACCAGCCTGGGTTACCATGGAGACCCTGTCTCAAAGCACAACGAGCAGGGGCAACAACACAACTGAGGGCAACAATAACAGCCCCAGCACAGACAGGCATCTACAGATGGACTTTTCAGGAGGGGAAAAGGAGGAACACGAAGGTAAAAGCCACGCTTGAATCTTCTTAACTTTAGCTGATTGTGTGTGTGGTGTGCGTGCAAGTTAGTGGATAGTTTTCAAGAGACAGCTCTCCTTTTCCACACTAGAAGCACAGATGATCAAATTCAAGTCACCAGGCTTGGCAGGGACACCCAAGCCACCAGGCATGAGTGAAGGTCCGAGGGCAACTTTTTGGAGTTCTGTTCTCTCCTTCATCTGTGGGGATCATGGGAATTGAACTCCAGTCACTAGGTTTGCTAGTAAGTTGCCTTAATCAATTGAGCCATACAAACAGCCTTTAACTTAAAGTTAACCTTTAATGATGAATAGAGGTCCCTTGAGAGTTCACACCTAACGTTTAAGATAGGCAAAATCCATAGAGATGAAAATGACCAAAATACATTATATACATATATGAAACTGTTAACTAATTTAAAAAGAGAAACATGAGTTAGTGATTCCAGGAGGTATAACAGCCGGGGATGAGAACAAGGCTCAGAGTCACAGAGTTGGCTTCACTTACCAGGTGGGTGACCTAGAGCAAGCTAATTCTCCTGCCTGGACACAGCTCTTCCTGTTTCCGTTGGATTGCTAACAAACCTTCCTGCATCAAGTTGCCTGTTGTGAAAATTAGACAATATATAGAAGCCCTCAGGGCAATGTCTAGCAAGGCTTGATATGGTTTGGGTATTAAATACTCGTTCTGAGACTGTATCTACAAGCTTCCCTGCCCTGTGGTGCTTGCTGGTGGAAGTTAATGGTTATCTCAGGAGCTAGGGCCTAGTGCGAGGAAGTTAGGCCATTGGGCACAGGCCCCTGAGGGGATATTAGGACCCAAATGCCTCTTTCTCTGTTTCTCTCTGCCTCTCTCCTTCTTGGCTCCCATGAGGAAAGCCATCTTCCTCGCTAACACACTGCACATGGCCAGCACAGGCTGAAAACAACCATGGAGTTAGACCTCTGAAACTGTAAGCCAAAGCAAACGGTTCTTTCTCACAAGCTGACTTCCCTCAAGCATTTTGACACAGTGGCAGAAAGCTGACAGGCAATGGGTTCAGCAACAGTTGGCCACCCAGAGCAGAAAATGTCATTAAATGGTACAGTATAGATGCATGGGTGTTGAGAAGGAGAATTAAACAAAGATATATTCAGAACATAAATTAAATGAGGCTATTCATAGGTCCACACCGAATGCTTAATTTGCCGAATTGACACTGTAGGTGCTTTGTAAATCCTGAAGGAAGGGTTCTGTCCGCCAGTTAATAAATCAATGGAGTCAAGGAAGAGAAGTTTACTGTTAGGAAAGTTAAATTCTTTGCCTTCCACAGTCTCCTTAAGGCTCCCTAATCCCTGCTGATCTAGCCGTAAGATCTAGGGTAGCTGCCATAACCCAGAATAGGTTTTTCTGTGTCTCGTGGAGCATCATACACACACACACACACACACACACACACACACACACACACACGAGGACATAATAAACGTAAGACACTAGTCTCCGAGTCACTTCAACACCATGACAGGAGAACACGGGTTTAAGTCAAAATGTCTCTTTTGGTTTTGTTGCTTTTGTGAGACAGTCTTGCTCTGCTCCTCAGGCTGGGCTAGACTTGAGAACTGCCTGTGCTAGCCTCCTGAGCGATGCTTTTACAAGAGTGCCGTGCTGCCAGGTTAGATAGGATAACAACGCAGAATAAAAGGGACTGTGTCAGACAAGAGGTGGCATGTGGAAGGCCAAGGACACGAATTATTTTCCTCTTGACCCAGGTACCTTTACCTCGTGCTCTTTGGAGCAGACATCTACCCTCAGAAGTTACTTTAGGCTTCTTTCCAGTTCTGAACCATGAGCAAATCACAAACACATTTGACAACAACATGTTCCTCTTGCGTAAATGCCTCTTCTAGGCCACATACATAATTAAAGCCCTGTTGACTCGGGGATCCTGCCTCAGAACTGAATGTCCGAACTCGGTAACTTCCTTCCTTTCTAACCCGACGGCACAGCTGCCAAGAGCTCCCTGGCCCTCCGCCTTCCCCTCTGTGTATAATGACTACACGTTACATATGGATAACACACGCTGGGTTTGCCCACGGCAGCCAGGAAACGTTCCTATGACTACTTATTTCAACTTCGTTATGTGTACATGTGACCAAAGCCACAATGCACCAAAGCAAAAATGAGAAGGCCCTGGGCTGGGAGTCGATGCCGTCGGAGATTCTCTTCTTCCATGAACACTTGGTGTAAGTCTTAGGGCAAAGTGTGTGTGTAAAGCAGTGTGTGTTTGTGACGTGGGACCCTCTTAAGGAGAAAGAATGCTTTAAAAACTAGAGATGCCACTGTACAACACAAGTTCTTGTTCCCAACATTTTAAACAGTGAAGCCAATGCTTATGTTTACTTATTTTTACTTTCTGTGCACTGGTGTTTTGCCTGCAGGTATGTCTGTGTGAGCGTATCGGACCCCGGTCTGTGGAAGAGCAGTAGTGCTCTTAAGCGCTAAGACGTCTCTCCAGCCCCGAGGAAACGGGTTTTTTAAGGGTCTTCAAAATATAGATGAGGCACAGAATAAAGCATCCTGGATTTCTGTCACCCTTAGGCAGCACCAGATTTAAAGCGGACACGGAAATCTCTCGTACACTGCCACCCTCTAGAGAACGGGGATTCACAAGGATCTCAGGAAGCTGCTCCTGTAGTCCCCTGGTCATAAAATGCTTATATTCGATCTTGAATCCTCACCCTCTATTCGATCTTGAATCCTCACCCTCAGGTTCCAGCCTGGTTCCCTCTGCACTGCCTAAATAGCCCTGCCCGAGGGGCGAAAAGCAGCAGCTTCTTTACCAAATGCAAGTTGTGAAAAGGCTCCCAGCGGGAGATAAACACACGGCCTTCGGTTGCTTGGATCTCTTGTATTCCTGCACAAATGTTTAGACAGGAAATGGGCTCCTGTCCAATTTTCCAAACTCCTCTGTTCCTCCACAAGTTCGCAGAGAGATCCGCTCATCTTTTTAGAGCCTTTATTTAACTATGTTAGTACCTCCGTCTATATACGTTACAGCTAACTACACGTGTTAGTGTGTCTAGTCAACATATTTTTGAATTAGATAACTACTTACTGGTCTTAGGTTTCTGACTTGTTGCAGAAAAACCTGGAACATTGGGGGTGCATCAGAAAACTAGCAGTGCTTTTGTACGCGTTACATATCTGTGTGTGCGTGGTGTATGTGTGTGCACACGCTTGCAGGTGTGTGAGGGGAGCACACTTGAGGGTTCACGTGTGTGAGTGTGGAGGCCAGAAGTTGACATCACGCCCTTAACTTCTTGCCACCTTATTATCCACTTATAAAAAAAGATTATTTATTTTTATTACATGTGTATGCGTGCCTGCTGTTACGTGTATGTGTGTACCACGTGGAGGCCAGAAGAGGGCGTCTAATTCCCTGGAACTGGAGTTACAGACACTAGTGAGCAACTAGATGGGGTATTAGGAGCCAAACCCAGGTCCCAAACAGTGAGTGTTCTTAATCACTGAGCCGTCTCTCCGGCCCCCTATTTATTTATTTTTAATGAATTTATTGGCAAGATGATTCGATGGCTAAGAGGTTATATCACTCTTGTAGAGGACCTAGCTGGTTCCCAGCACGCACATGGTGGTTCATAACTGCCTGTAGCTGAAGCTCCAGGAGATCTGAGTTTCTGTCCTTTGTGGGCTTATGTATAACACACACACACACACACACACACACACACACACTGATGATGATGTTAGGAATTTTCTAGACTGGGTTAACTGATGTGGGACATCCACCCTAAATGTGGGTGGCATCATTCCATGGGCTGGGAATAAAAAGGAGAAAGCCATCTGAGGGCCAGCGTTCACCCCTCTGTGTAGATACAATGTGACCAGATGTCTCCATCCTGCCACGCCAGCTGCTCCGCCATGGAACCCTAAGACTGTGAGCCAGACTTGACTTTTCTTTCCTTTAGTTGTGCTTGTCAAATGACGGTCACAACAATGAGAAAATTAACCAGTGCAAACCCTTGTTCTTCAAGCGTCTCCCACACTCAGGGAAGACAGTGCCTGCAGACTTCAGAAGGTTGCCCCCTCCTCTCCGGTCTCCATTGAGCCTCACCCTGCAGAGCTGTGAAACAGTGCTGTCTGTGAACTCATTGAGCCTCACCCTGCAGAGCTGTGGAACAGCGCTGTCTGTGAACTGTGACCTTTGTCTCCTCCTCCCAAATCAGCACGTTTTTGAGGAAGGAGGAGTAATGCTCAGATGAAACCTGTCTTCCTTTTAAAATTCAGAAATCCTTTTAAACAACAAAGAAAATACTCCTTTTTGTTGCTGTTACTGGCAACAAAGTGACCCATTAGTAGTTTTAAAAATCTGCACACAAAACAATGGGTTTCATTGTCCTATTTCCATTCAATTTTTATTGCTACAGTTCCTCCCCTCCAATGACGGCACCTCCCATACACCAGCCGAGAGAGCTCACTTGAACCTATGGACGCTTCAAGCGTAGCCTCTTTAAGCAACGCCCTTCCACGTCCCCTCTAGACTCTCCGTCTCCTCAGTTAAGCGGCTCCCCCTTCCCTCTGTCTTCATGGGCTCAAAACAAGAACACCTCAGAGCGGAGAATCTGCGACCATCTCATTGTTCGCATGTGGACAGCCATTCCCAGCACCTGTTATAGGAAAGGGTCCCATCTGTCCAGTGTATATTTTTGACACTTTCATTACAACTTTGGACCTCAGGACACTTGCTGCCGGCCGGGAAGACCTGAGTTTCATCCCTGGAACACAAGTGGTAGATAGAGAGAACTGGCTCTTCAAGTTCTCCCCTGACCTCCATGTGAGCGCAGAAACGCTTCTGGAGGGTGAAGACAACTTTGAGGAGTTGATTCTCTCCTCTCACCTACATGTGGGCCCAGGGATCACACTCAGGCACCAAGCTTGCTGGGCAGGTACTTCTCCTCACTGGGGCAGCGTTCTGCCCCCCCCCATAGTCTGTAAAGTTTTTATACATTGCTATAAACTATAGCTATTGCTATATCCATGCCTTCTCAGAATTCGTTTGTTGATGCTTAACTCCCAACATGGTGATTTTTGGATGAGAAGTCTTTGGAATGTGACTGTGTCAGATGAGCAGCGCCCTCATAAATGGGATTACAGTTCTTACAAAAGAGATCCCAGAGTGCTCCTTGGCCTCCTCAGTCCTGAGGAAAAGATTCCAGGAGGCAGCACTCACCACAGCCTGTAGCTTCTAGCATAGCAGTTCCCAACCTGTGGGTCAGGACCCCTCTGGGGGGGTCACACATCAAATATCCTCCTTGTCAGATACCTACATCACAATTTATTACAGTAGGACTACTACAGCTATGAAGTAGCAATGCAATCGTTTTCTGGTTGGGGGTCGCCACAACATGAGGAGCTGTATTAAAGGGCAGAGGCATCAGGAAGATTGAGAACCGCAGGGCTATAGCACCTCAGCCTTTGACAGCTACACCGTAGCCTCTACACTAAGAGACATACATGTTGCTAAAACCATCCAGGTTAGCCTGGGCTTGGCCTAATTATTATGATATTAATGTCAGAGCAGTCTGAAGACACTAAGACATGAGTTTGTCACTTAGGTCTAAGAGCAACCTGTCAATGCAGACCCTTGAAAAATTTTTCCAATCCTGAAACTCAAGAATGTAAATGACAGAGGTTCTCTCTCTCTCTCTCTTTCTCTTTCTCTTTATTTTTCAGACAGGGTCTCATTGTGTAGCTCTGGCTGAGCTGGGACTCGCTATGTAGACCATTCTGGCCTCAAACTCACAGAGCTCTACCTGCTTCTGCCTCCTGAATGCTAAGATTAAAGGCGTGCGCCAGCACACCTGACTTTCCATATTTCTTTATTTCAGAGCCTGGACGTGGCTCATAATATTACAAGGAAAAGTCATATGAGGAATTATAAAGTACAGGACTATTTGCAGAAGGGACCAGAAAAACTGCGGTTATAGCATGACTTTGGCAATGGTCCCCAAAGGCTGCAACATAGCCTGTGTGGGTTTGTGATCTTAAAATGTGAACATATCCTTCTCTTCAAAACAAACTATTAACAGAGCCTGATTTTATTCATGTTTTGTGGGAGTAATCCCAGCTGCTCAGAGTTCAAGAGGGTAAGGGTACATCATGCCTGGAGGACAGCATTCTACAGCAGTCTGTTCATACACTGGTGTATGGCAAGTCAGGCACAAACAGGAAGTGACGAGGCCAGCATGTCCAGCCGCTCCATCTCGCCCCTCAGTGTATTTTCAGACACACGTCAGTCATGGCATCTTCCATGCCCTTTCTGCTACTAGTCTGGTTATTTGTTCAATGGTTGTTAAAGATGGAGGAGAAATAGCATGTTTTCAAATCATGCTAAGGAAGTCTTTGAAACTAGCCTATGTTAGTATTCTGACAACCGAGTAACTGCCCCAAAACTTCTGCATATTTATGTTCACCGATAATAGCAGGTCTGAGACATGTGATCAAGTGTCTCGATTTTATGAATGGGAATGAATACTGGGACTCTGCAAGGTTAAATCTTTCACCTGAGGTCACACAGACAGAAGGCGTTGGACTCGAGCTAACCCGTCTTCCTTTTATGGTCTTAGTGAGTTGAGTGCACTGCTCCTCGGCTCTATTTTGTAATAACTAAATACTGGGGCGTAGACGACGTCCCAAGGCTAAGTACCACATAGCAATCCCTATAAGATGTGTTTACAAGGAACCTGGAGATAACAACACAATCCATACCCAGAAGATCTGAACCTTCTTGGCTCCCACATCCTCCCTCCTCTCCTGAATCACTCATCACTAAGTCCTTGGCTGCCGCCATCCTTGCACGCGTACGGGACATTTAAACAAAACCGGACAATGGAGCTGGGGTTGCTGAGAGTCGTACTCAGGGCCAAAGCAACTCCAAGTGAGGCCCTGGATTTAATGACCCAGTGTGGGCCAGGGAAAGAAGGAGGAAGGAGGGAACGAGAGAGCAGCTCAGATAGCCTACTGTTTTGAAGAAAATGACGGGTGTCATAGCTGGAGGAGCATGCTGGTTAATGCTACTTGACCTCAGGAGACAGGCCTCGGTGCATCTGTCAGGGACTGTCAAAGTTAAGGTTTGCTTCTGAGGATGCCTGTGGGGGAGTTCCTCGACTAATTATGTTCATTGATATGGGCAAAGACTTCTTCATTTTATGACTCGGACCTCTCCTTGAGCAGAGGATCTTAGACCACGCAAAGCCTGAGTGGGCTGAGTGGTAACTTGCGTGCATTAGCTCACTGTTCTCTGTCCTGACTGGGCGTGATGTGACCCTTTCTCTCAAGACCCTGCCACTGTGTCTTCCCTGCTGTGATGGACGGACTCCTGGAACTGTGAGCTTATGTAAACTCCTTTCCTCTAGGTTACCTTGGTCAGGGAATTTTACCACTGTGATCTTAATAATAATTTAGCCGGGCGTTGGTGGCGCACATCTTTAATCCCTGCACTCGGGAGACAGAGGCAGGTGGATCTCTGTGAGTTCAAGGCTAGCCTGGTCTACATAGTGAGTTCCAGGACAGCCTCCAAAGCAATACAGAGAAATCCTGTCTCGAAAAACTAAAATAATAACAACAATAATAATAACCCAGAGTCAGATGTTAGGGGGTGAAAGGTGAAAGATCAGAGAAGCAGAGCAGCTAGCCACTAGAACTCTTACCTCTGCGAAAACCTCAGACTGAAAAGAGACAGAGCTCCTGTCTCCTCCCACCTTGTATTCCTCTCTCTGCTGAGCCACATCACGTCCTGTCTGTCTGTGGAGACCTCCAGATCTCTACGGCTAACTAATGGCCAGCTTTACCCGCTGACCTCCAAGCAGGCTTTATTCGTTAGCATACAACCAAGACATCACCACATATCACCTCACCAGGGAACTAAGAGACAGGCTTGATCCCGGTGCTCACAGCGCACACACGCAGCTGCCTCTGAGTCTGTCTTCCAGGAACTCCTGTCACCTTGGACTATGCCCCAAAGCATGCAAAGCAGCCGGTGATGGCGTAGGCAGGTTGAAGGAACACTGAAGAAACGAAAAGCAGACCTCTCTAACCAGTGGTGGCAAAACTGGACGTTGGCAGGTACCAAGGCTCTGCTGAGTATCAGGGCACCAGCTTCCTCCCTCGCATAAGTAAATATTTCAATCAGGTTTCAGAAGCAGAGCTTGGAGTGGAATAAAAATCAATATTGATACTATTGATTTTTTTAAAAAAGGCTAAATCTATTAACTCAGTCCAATCATATCACATCCATGGCAAACAGGGATGGAGCCCAAAGCAGGGAAACTGTCCCCCAGTTGGACGTTGGCTGGGCTCCAGCCAACGCTTCTTCTGCCAAACAGTGAAAGAAGAGAAATAAATTGACGGGTATAGAAAAATGCTAAAACAAAACACACCATTGAAATCATGTCTAAATGCAAGATCTATTGGGAATTTTGTGGAGGCTGAACTGGATTCTATTTTTTGTTTTGTTGTTTCGTTTCTAGTCATTTGGTATCAGAATTACATTTACAAAAAGGAGATCTACTCTTTACCTCTTGCAAATTTGTTCATAGGCTCAAGCATGTATTACACACTAATACACCTAAAGTACCATTGCCACCTAGTTTTTCTGTCTCCTCCTTATTCATTTAAGCTAAACAAATTAGATGACAGAAGGACAAAGAAGTCTCTCGACAATTGTGGGGCTGGGAACTGGACCCAATGCCCAGATTTCCACTGAGGAAGAGTTGAAGTTAGTATCACTGTATGCCGACACTCTGGATGTGCAAACATGGGCACGGGGCATTGCTAGACACACACAGCCCTCAGGTGGTGTAGGGAATACAGAAATAAGATTTAACCTCATGTTTTAAACACAGTGGTTAAATAAACAGTTCTCAGTGCACGCTGTCCCGCTGGACAGGAATCTCTTGAGTTCCTGGGACGGCCGCCCGTGAGTGCCGAGTTCTAGTGCCGGTGCGGAGTGACTGTTCTCTCCACTCGCTCAGATACCAGGGACCATGTTGGGTGTTGGTTTTACCCAGCCAGCACTAGCTAGCTTAATCAGACTGCCCTCTGTACTAGATGAAGTGGAGAGGGAATTCCTAGCCGCCCACTCATTGGGAGCCACAAAACCCAAGTCTCATCAAGCAAGCCTTGGGGTGGATGGAACACAGCTCCTTTTACCTACCTGAGCACAGTAGCTGACTATCAGGAAACTGCCTGTGGCTTCCACACATTGCCACACTATTTACACAGCTGATGGCTGTTTGCCCTCATTGAGGAATTTGGCTCTAGAGGATTCCCCTTAAAATTCCCAAAGGGCCTATTCACCCTGTCACACCTACACAGATGCCTGTGGGGATCACAACAGTGGGGTTCATTTTCTAACTTCCTCTGTGCAGGACTGGAATTCTACACGTTTATTTAAAAGGGGGGGTTGGAGCAGCTCTTAGGGGGAGCTACACAACCTAGCATTATAGGAGGTATTTTCAAAAAGTATTTTCAGCAAGGTCAACAACCCCTACTCCTGCCACTCAAACATTCCTTGGCTTCATCCAAGAGTCTAAACTCTGCCCTCCTTCCTCACAGGCACCAAGCTGAGCCAGATGAGACTCCAGCAGCTAAGAACCTTCCAAGAGAGAGAGAGAGAGAGAGAGAGAGAGAGACAGAGACAGAGACAGAGACAGAGACAGAGACAGAGACACAGAGACAGAGACAGAGACTGAGACTCAAGAGACTCCAGCAGCTAAGAACCTTCCAAGAGAGAGAGAGAGAGAGAGAGAGAGAGAGAGAGAGAGAGAGACAGACAGAGACAGAGACAGAGACACAGAGACAGAGACTGAGACTCAAGAGACTCCAGCAGCTAAGAACCTTCCAAGAGAGAGAGAGAGAGAGAGAGAGAGAGAGAGACAGAGACAGAGACAGAGACAGAGACCCAGAGACAGAGACAGAGACTGAGACTCAAGGAGAGGAGAGAAGCAGGGGCTGAAATTTCTTCACCTTTAATA